TGCCAAATGCTCCCGTCGATAAAAACCGTTGATCAGGTAAGAACCATTCAGCAGAAGAGAAGAGAACACTAGGCTCACCACCGGGCTCACTACAGAGCGATGCAGAATTAACAGGAAAACTTGTCACCTGCACAGCTGAAGAAGCGCGCTACAAATTAACACCTGTTCCAAGCATTCCAAGTTTTTCGCAGAAAAAACAAGAGATGAATGGCCTGAACAAAAGCGAAGCAGTGCATAGTAAATGGCAATGAATGGTCGCAATCCTGGCTACTGGGACTGCGGTTCCGGAGCTCGACCCGGCTCCTCCACCATCACCAGATTGTTGTTGGCTGCCTTCGCATCGGGATTAGCGGGCGCTGCACGCATGAACGGCTTCCTCATGGCATGTCGACAGTTTGCGATACCCATACCAAGGCCCATGCCCAGGCCAAGCCACAGCGGGAACTGTCGCTTGAAAAGCGCTGCCGCCAGCAGCCCAACCGTGCCAGCACCCAGCGTCTTCAGCGCCGTATCGGCCAAGCAGCGATCCAGCGTTTCGCCGAGCTCATCTTCCGATTTCACCATTTATTATGCGCTCCCTGCAAATCTATTCTTCCAGAATGCTGAGCTGTGCGCAGAGTGAAGCACTAAGCCCTACAGTCGCATATTTTATGCGTTTTTGCATATTTATGCAAATGCAACTCGGGCACCGACGCACTTGGCTTATCGGTGCGAAACTGAGTTTTTGCGCTAAACATGAAGCAGTTGGATTGTAAACAATGTATATGGTAATATCACTGTCATAAACATTGCCATACAAAATATTAAACGAATTATATGTCAGCTGCTTCATGAGTTTTATCCGTTCAGCCAGTCCGGAAGGATAAGTACACATAGGAACATGTGAGATTACTGACAAATAAAATTGTTCAACACAGAAATAAATTGCGGCGTGCACCAAAGCAGTCGGTGCGATCATGCGTTTTGTGCAATTTCGTCCACCGGACGATTGCTTGTTGATGATTTCCACTGCTTTGCATTTGGTCTGTGCAAAAGAGTTGAAATGTTGTCTGGTTCCTAAGTTGTGGAGTCTGCTACTACGTGAAAGCTGAATTTGAAATCTCGAAGGGAGAATATCCTTCCACAATTTCAATGTCCCAATTTTCGGGCTTTAATGTTCGTACATGAAGGCTCGGCACACTTAGGAATTGAATTCGAGTTTTTGAAGCTCCTGCTTAAGCAGGAAACACACTCTGGAATATTCAGCCCCCTAGGTCTTCTCGCTTCAGAGATGATGGTTTTTCCCGCTAAAACTTCCACGGGAACGTTGAAAATTTACGGAGTCTTATGTGGGCAGAGGATGCTACGCTAAAATTTCAGCTTCCTAGTTTTTGCAGTTCGCGAGATAATAATTCCCCTATTGAAATTTTCACAGGGCCGTACGTGGTACCCAGAAGTACGTGAAGGCTGAGCCCAAATTTGAGGGGTCGTAAGTTAGTAGAGGACATCACCCTAAATTTTCAGATTCTAACTTCCACGGTTCCCGACTTTATAATTTTCCTTGTCGAGACTTTCACGAGGGCCGTAAATGATGCTCCGGCACGCGAGAAGGTTGAATATGAATTTGTGGAATAGCATGTGGGCAGGGGACATTACCGTAAAATTTCAGCTTTCCTGCTTTTATAGTTCCCGAGATAATAATTCACCCACGGAAATTTTCACAGGGCTGCAGGTGGTACCCGTGAGCGTGGGAACGCTGAATTTGAATTTGCAAGGTCGTACGTGGGGGAGGGGGTCATTACCCTAAAATTTCAGCTTCCTAGATTTCGTGGTTCCCGAGGTAATAATTTACCCGCCAAAATTTTCAAGGGGCCGTAACTGTTACCCGCGAGTATGAGGAGGCTGTATTTAAATTTGCGGGGTTACAAGGGGACGTTCGCCCAAATTTTCAGTTTCCTAGCTTTTATGGTTCCAGTGATAATAATTTTACCCGCCAAAACTTTTACAGGGCCTTACTTGTTATCTGCGGGCGCGGGAAGGTTGAATTTGAGTTCTCTGGGTCACACGTGGCCAGGGGACGTACGCATAAAATTTCAGTCCCCTGGCTTTCGTGATTCCCGAGATAATGATTTTACCCGCTAAAACTTTTACGGGGCCGTACGTGTCGGAAATGGGAAGGCTGAATTTAAATTTGCAGAGTCACATGCTGGCGAGGAACATTCTATTAAAACTCTAACTAACTAGTTCCTGTGGTTCCCGCGTTGAAAGTACGGGACAAAGTGTGGGGGACAAACACACACACACACACACATACATACATACACACACAGACAACCCCGCTACAATATGCGTTTTGAACTGCTGTTACATAGCACAGAAGGTACAATAGAAAGACCTTACCTGTAGTTTTGGCTAAATAGCACCGTAGGCGCAAAAGAAACGTGCGAAAACCGCA